AGCAATGCCATGGTTTAAGGAAACTAAGTCAATGACAATCTGATTTTGATGAGAGGTATTATTTCATCTTACGGGCTACAAAGTGGCAGAGTAGAATCATTATTAGGCTTAGTTGACAGCCAACTCACTGACAGCTCAAGTTGAAATGTGTTACCACTTAACCAGGTGTCTTGCTTAAATGCTTAGACCTTAAAGGGTCAGACTCATTCTGGCTTTAGGTACTACTGTATTGGAAACTAGGCAACAATGCCTATTAAGCCTGGACATAAATACCACGGCACTTATATTAAATTCTGATACCTACATGAAAATTTTTTAACCAAATGCAGGATGGGATTGTCTCTATTTGATGGGAAGATATATCCACCTGCTACCTCTCTGTACCTGGTTAATTAATAGGTATTTTCTTAGGATGGTTCTGTGAGGGAGAAGCAGCAAAGAGGAAAGGGAAACTCAAGAGAGTCACAGAATTTTCTATCTAGGAGAGGCCTGAAATCACTTACTTAATTCAGCCTTTTCACTTTATAAAGGTAAGAAGCGAGGCCCAAAGATTTTCTAATTACTGAGAAAACTAGGATGAGAACCCTAGTCTGTTGATGCCTTTCAAAAAAGCAAAGAACAAACATAAAAGTTCCTTCATGTTGTAAAAGTTAGAAAAATTTATATCACTCTTTACAGTGTCCTATGGATAGGTGAGCATAAAAATAAAAGTCATAATTAAAAGAACATAGAACGAGATATGCAGATAACTTGACACAACAAAAATATATTTCCTCTGTATTAGTTTCCACAAAGACACTGATACTTGACTGGTATGTGCGTTTATGTGAATTATTCTGATATACTGAGTTCATCCTGATAGCCTTATGATGCTCTGTCATCTGCATGCATAGCATAAAATAAAAAGTTTTACCTTGGAAGGACTTATTCTTAACCCTAGGGATATAAAGTGACAATATGCTCTTTTTGTTAAGAAATAGGCCCTTCTTTTCTTTTATTTTGCAACAACATAGTTTAATTTTTTTTTCAAAAATTGAAATAAAATATTACTAATTGCAGATTCTGTTTTTTTTCCCCATGTTTTTTTTTTCCTAAAAAGAAATACCCAGAGGCATATGCCATCTCAGGAGTATACAACAAACAAGAAGCTAGTACAACTGCCCTAACTTGGTAACTAGGGCTTCTAAATTATGATATTTAAATCAAATTTAACAATTCCACACTCACCCAACACACTGTCTCACAAAATAAAACTTCAGCAACTTGAGTGTAGAATGACATAGTTACCTGGAGGTGCTGGATTTTGCTATGGCTGATGTAGAGTCTCTTGGTGGTGGGAGGAATACCTGATGGCACCTCCATCACTCTGTAGCATTGCACCGACTGCTCAGAATCACAGCTACATCTTCCTGGACAGTTAGGACTGAAACCGTCACTAAGAGAGAACAAAACAAGAAGAGCAGAAAGCAGATGCATCTTCCAAGTCAGGGGCTCTCAGGTAGCAGGTGGGAGTTTAGGTGATGTCTCACTCTTTATACCCCGAAATCTGATCATAGAATCTTATGAATGTGTACTCTGTCAATGTAAGAAGACAGGAAAGAAAAAAATTCTCAAATTGTCCGGGTTAAAATGTTAGCAACCATTACAAAGAGGAAGGGGCTTAAACATTGATAAGCTGCCTTAATATTTGTAGGTGAGCAAAACCCTGTGTTATTTATGGCTTGGAAGGCTAATCTGCAAACACCTCTATTATCTGTAGTTTCCTTGTTTTGTTAAACGTGACACTAGGGGATTAGTGGGAGAAGACAAAGAGCTGTTTTATAGTGGGCCATAAAACCTTTGAATTTTCTGTGACCCTATATTAAAACCATTTTTGTAGGAGTGAAACTGGCAGGTGTTTTCTTCTCACATTAACTAGGAAGGGAAAATAGGCAGGTTTTACATTTGTTATTGTTGTTTCAGTAACATTTTATTGCTAGACAAATCAGTGGGGTACGGTGGAGAACTATTTAGGGTCACAGATAATTTATTTCATTCATCTATCATTTAAGCCAACCAAACATGATATTTTAGAAATACCTTTGTCATTCAAAAATATTGTTGACCATGTTAAGAACAAAACATCAAAATAGTTCTACTAGCTTTATTTGTAATAACGGTAGAATGGGTCTCTAGTTTCTTCAAAGTAATTTGTCAGTCCTGAAACCTCAGCTTATTGCAAAGGGGAAAGTTCACTTGGTTGGGCACTTCTTTGTTGTGGCTTTTTGTCTTGCTCCCAGTATACCTGCTGAGACTTTTGGAAAGCATTTTAATAGTTGCTTTAAAAAAATTGTTTAAAAAAAAAGCATTTTAAGCAAAAGATTATGTAGAGAACCCCTTAAACAAAAGAACTAAATGTCTTCCTCTTAATGAGCCTCAGCTGGTTGCTCCAAAGAAACAAAGTGCTTTTTAGCATTGAAAAACTTCTTTAGTCTTCTATTCAACCACTGCTACAATTGTCATTTAAAGCCAAAGTTTCTTTGATGTGATAATCAATTCATTTCATTTCTAAAGTAAAGTTTTATGTGTTTTTTCCCAAAAAACTTGTCTACTTCCTCTTTCTGATGCTTTTTCCATTAACTATCAGAGAAATGGAGTGGTAATGATGTTTCTTTTCTGTCAATAGTCTGACTTTTTACAATCTTGTTTTAAATTACTCTTTATTTCATAATTCTTTTAATTTTTAGAATTTTCAAGTATCAAATAATGCTTAATAAAAGAAAATTTGGAAAAAAATGGCAAGGAAGAAAAAATAATACCTTTAGTCTTGTCCAAAGGCAAACATTCTATTTGTATTTCTTTTCTATGCCCAGTCTCTGAATATGTTTTTGTGTGTTGCTAAAAAGGCAAATTCACAAGTTACATGAAATAAAGTGGCTGTAAAATCTTATCCTCTCATCTGCTGTCAATGACAACAAGTTTTTGTTATGTAGCATAGCAGTGAGTTCTATTTTCTATTCTTTGTTGGTGACAATTGGATTCTCTTTGAGCCTTATACTGTATAATTTGTTCTTATTTTTATGGTAATTCTGTTAGCTTTATTATAATTTTGGCATTATTTCTAATATTAAACTATGAATAGCTTTATCTAATCAGGTTGTGGACACTCATTTATAATATTTTTCATGTTATTTCATAGTCTTCATAAACTTGAATGTCTAAATAGTTCTCCATCAAGACAATTGTCCAGGGGCTGGGATTGTGGCTCAGTGGTAGAGCGCTTGCCTAGCCTGTGTGAGGCACTGGGTTCTATTCTCAGCACCGCACATAAATAAATAAAAGAAAGTTCATTGACAACTAAAATTAAAAAAAAAATTTTTAAAGACTATTTTAATTTTTAATTTAATTTTTAACTGTTAGATTTTTAGGTTGTTTCCCAATTTTGCTATTGAAAATGTAAATAACATTGATCAAACAAATTTTGGGAATTCTCTGATGGATAAAAGAACTGTTTGCTTCCCAGATTGCACTTCTTTATTTAGGTTGAGAATTCAGCCTTTTTTTTTTTTTTTTCAGGAAGAAGGAAAAGTTTTATTGATACTATAAACTGCAGAGAAAATATAATATAGACGTGCAGCCTGAGTTCTTGAAGGACTTGCATGTTTTGTTGTATCTGCTCTAAAGTTGACAGGCTCCTTTGCCTGTTTACTGTACTAGGAAGTAAGCTATAGAAGCCGCCACTATTGCTCAGCTTCTAGCTTACTTTCTGCTGATTTTTGGAGTTTTACATGCTGATTAAGGGCCAAGGGTATAAAGTTCAGGCTTCTAGCTCTTGAGCTCAAAAGCATAAGGCATGCAATTCTTTCCTCTAAGAGTTTTAACAAAACCTAATCTGATCCATTTTTATTTGGTTCCTTTGGGTAAGAAGGCAAATAAAAGAACATGGATGTCTTTCTCAAGCATGGAAATTCAGTGAATCAACCAGCAACTCTGTTCAAAATTAGCCCAGAATCTAAGTTTAATCTTTCAATACAAGAAAGATAGCAATTTCAAGCAGTATGATTTGAATTTGCATTTGAACTGGATTCTCAGTTCAGATTCTTAAACCAAGGTTTTCTTGGACTTTATTCTCCCACTTTCCCTAGAAACAGTTTTGATTGTCATAAAAACGTAAGTGAAGGGGAGTCATTCTGTTGTTCTCTAGGGGTGCTGAAACACCCTTAAATGCATAGGATAGCCCCCCTAACAAATATTTTTGAAATAGTGCCATTGTTAAGAAACTGAGATGAGCACAATGCATATACCTCTACGAAATAGATATTGACTTTTCCTTGTTTATTAAAAGCAAAAGAAGGCAAGAAATAATTGACCTAAAACTTGAAGCTACCTAATATCTCATGTGTAGTAGTATTTTGGGAGCTATTAGTGAAAGTATATTATACTAGAATTTTAAAAAATCTGCAGAAATCTCAATTTTTTAAGGAATATTCCTGTTGTTCTTACAAGGAAGATTTAACCTTTTTTTTCTGGATGTTGATGAATTTTTATTAGTTTCATAGAATGTTAGCACTGACAGGAACCTTAGAGATCATCTAAATCAATACCTTTTTTCCTACTGTCAATAGGAAATTTGATTCCAGGAAGGAAAGTGACTAATTCAAATTCTTTCTGACCTGAGACTAGAATCACCAGCTCATGATTCTGACAATAAAACGGATCAGTGAAAAGCTAAACAGAAGGCTTTAAAAAATTAAATCCTCCCTCAGATAAAAGAAAAAATAGTGAATAAAGTACAGATGATTCTTCTTAAAGGTATTTGCTTATTCTGGAGCATGTTGCATGGAAAGTGTAAGTTTAAAGTAAAATAGAAAAATAAATGCTTCTACTACTTAAACCCACTAAGCTTCATTTCTATCTTTTATCAAACACAGATAAAAACAAGGGAAATAATTTCCATTTTACAGAAAGGAAAAGATGAAATGGTCCAAGGCTTGTCAAATCCATGGGCAAAAAGAAGAAACTATAGTTGTATCCATTTGGCTTATTGGTTGCAACAAAAACAAATTTTGGTCAATTAAGCAGAAAAGGAAATACTGGGAGAAAACTGTGTAGTACATGGGATTGTGGGAAAGTCTGGGAACCAGATTTGGGAATGGGCAAGAATAAAAGGAAGTCTACATAGCTGAATCACAAGCAAAATTGCACCTCAGTCAAGTGAGGATACCATTGCTACTGCTAGGACAGAATATTGGTCACCCAGTCTCTACCATAACCAGAAATTGAAAACCCTCATTAGTAGAACTGATTAAATTGGATGTCTCTATCTCCACTTTCCTCTCTACTCCCTATCAAGGATAATTCTCCTGATCCCTACTTCATTAACTCCATGTTAAAACTTCAGGTAGATGATTCTAGTTAGCTGAGCCTTGGTCCAGCTGTCACAGAGCTGGAAAAGGGATTTACATTTCCTGTTCATTATGGAAGGGCTCTATCTCCTACCAAGGAGATAAACAAGGTAGGAAATTCCCTACTCAGAGGAAGGGAGTTCAAATATAGACAGTCCCCATATGTAGTGACAAATTTTCATTAAAGAAGTCTTTTTGCCTTCATTCACTCTGCTCGCCAAGGCCACAAAAACCAAACAAATTTTTAGTAAGTTACAATCAACTAGAGACAAAACAAATATATTTCCAACAACTGTTGTGGCGTGACTTTTTGTGTAACTGTTTCACTATAATTTTTCTAACTTGCTAATTTAGAAGACTATACAAATTCTAACCAGATAATTTATTCTTATATTTTTTTATAAAAGTGCAAAGAAAAGATAATTAATGTTGAGAGGGCTTAGAATGAACCTATTTGGGAGGTCCTTGTAGGACTAATCTATAAAAACCATAATTGACAAAGGCTAGTGGGGGTGTATGTGTTTGATCTGTAAAGTCTGACAATCTGAGAAATAAACAATGACTTGGCAGTAGGTGAAAGAAGAAGAATCAATAAGTAGTAAACTTTAATATCGTTGTTGATAAAAGGTGTTTCTCAATAATGCTGAATCAAATCTGGAGCTGTGGGAAAGGATAAATGTGAATGTAGATCAAGCAACAGTGGAAAAGCAGTTAGAGTCTATCTTTAATCTTGTAAAGTAATACAACTGTAGTAACAGGGATTAAAATAGTTTTGTTTTTAGGTTTGATTATGAAATAGTCAAAAATGTAGTATCTGTTTTAACTATGAAAATGTAGTATCTGTTTTAACTATGAAATAGGTAAAATAATTTTTGATATCTAAATTATATTTGACTTGTTAGTCAAATAAGCCAGATCATTGTTAAAGTAAGCCTTCTTTTTTTGGTTGAGAAAAATATTCCTTGAATTTTAGAAATTGATGAGTATTTTATAGATATCCCTAACCCCCAAGACAATATCAAAGTCTACATTGCTATGTTCTCTAGCATGTATCTAAAGTATGTCTTAAAAAGCGACTGTAGAATTTCCTAC